GAAATTGTGTTCAGTTCATTTCATTTCAGTACTTACAACAATTAGCCATGCACTTTCGTCTTCCGGTTTTAGTTGCTGTCTTTTGGTTGCGCATTTGTATGAAGAAGCGGAATGAAGACTAGAATGTTGAAAGCAAATTCAAGCGAAAGATAGGGAATTTGTATAGGCTGAAGTTACAAGAATCATGAGTAGATGCATGAGTGTCACTGTTTGCGACATCCATTCATATCGCTCGGCGTCTCTAACCATCGGTGACCATGATCACGGAGTCCCTAACCAGAGTGCTTGCGGGAACCATGTGACCTATTCTCCTGGTTAGTGTTTTCATACCCTTATTCCAGGTCTTAGTTCGACCTCCCTTGATCTTTTCCAGCCGGTATTTGTATTTGTATTTGTATTTGTATAGTCTTTTTCGAGAACAGAATGTTCGCATTTCAGTCAAAAATTTACACATCTGCCTCGACAAACATCACTCGCCGTGGAAAACTATTTGGTAACTTGCGTAAAGTATGCCCCTACCATCTTAATCTACGAAGGTCGACTACTTGCTCCAGTGGACGACCGCGATTACCTAAAACTACGCCTAACCTGAGCATTCCTCGTCCGGTTGACCCACCAGACTCGTGCAATGCGACGTAGACAGCGGTGCTCGAACACCGACAATCTAGTTTTATCCTGTTCCCGCAGTGGTCAAGTCTCTGCAACGTAATGCAAAACTGGCCTAACTGCTGCAGCATATACTCCACCCTTCAAGTCAAGTCAAGTCAAGTCAAGTCAAGTCAAGTCAGTATTAGCTTTATACACCCGGAAAGGTGTATTTTCAGCATTTACACAATTCTGTGGAAATTTTCTCCTTGTCAATAAGTAGACGTGCTAGATATGGCAAAACAGAATTACGATAAGTAGGGGTACGTGTAAATAAAAGTTTACTTCTTGAGCATGGGGATAATGTAAATACAGCTTTTGAAAAATCGTTGTGTAATGGGCGATGAGTGTCTGAAAGTATTTTGGCAGTGAAACTTTCGCGAAAGTCAAATTAGTCATACAATGAAGGATTAAATGAAAAATAGCTGTTTTAAAGTACTTTTAAGATAACCGTATCAATCGAAATTTTCCGAACCTAACTCTGTAGATAGTTAATACGATGCAGTGTTGTACATCTGTGTATGACACTCTAATTCACCGTCTTCATCTTTGTGTCGTTCCCCTCACCGGTTCCGGGATCCACTTTGTTTGAACTTGAAGACACTGGATAGTAGCTGGTGGCTGGTAGCTGAAGGAAGCGATTCAGTGAAAACAATAGTGAATTAAGGAAGGTGGACCATGAATGACCGCCTTACCTGTTGTTGTTTATGAAGTCACTACGATCAGAGTGGCTTACTAACAGGAAACCCCAGATTTTCGAGTCTGAATGCGTAAAACGATTGTTTGCAAAACTTTATTACAAACATCGCCAATCCGGTGATGTCATAAAAATATTGTGTAACCTTTCCAGAGGAAAGTTGATATCATAGCTTGTGTTGACCTCCTCCCTCTAAACAGGAATAAGGTGATATCTGTTCTTCTGTTCTTCTCCAAAGCCTCATTATGGTCGGGGGTGGGTGTCTAGGGTTGCGGCTGTTCACCCTGCCCCTGCAACTCACGAAATGCTCCTATACGACCAAGCGTCTCAAACAGCCTCTGCTGAGGAAGCCCTACTCACTGCCTTCTCGCGGCGGAGGTGTTTTCCCACCAAAGTGAGAGGACGAAAAGCCGATATCCGGGGCTATAGCCGGGTTGGTGGACCACTGGCAGTTCACCTAGGGGAGTTGGCCAAAAACCCTGATTCCAAACCAACCATGAGGAGACATACGAACCACACCCACACCTTTTCGGTTGTGGCAGCGGTCACCGGCTCGATTGGGCATTGAGGTGTATTGGCACCTTGGACGTCTGACCCCGTCCGAAGGGCGTATGATCCGATGAACTGGACACCGGCCCCCAATGGACTGCGGTTTTCACATACCGCCCCGCTGCCTTGCGGGTAAGGCTTTGGCTAGTCGAAGGCTCCGGTTGTGGATTCCTCGAGAAAATTCATCTGCCTTGGCCTGGGCAACCTGGCAGTGCTCAGCCCACAAGCCAATCATGGAACATTTTCTTTTTTATAAAGATTATTGTACCACGATTTGTTTGGCACACAGTCTGTCCTCAGACAAGTGTGAAATATAATACAATAATTCTGTGAACTGAACTGGGAGTTTGAGGACAAAAGCACTTTCCCCTTACTTCTCAACTCTTCCTTAATCACTGGTTTCTTCCTGAACTCATTTGTTCCTCTCTGAACCGATCCGGTTTCAACAAAAACGCTCCGTGTATTTTTCACATTTGAAGCGGTCTGCGTTTTTCTTTGTCAGGACTAAGACGACTGAACTCCGCGCACGTTTCCCGAACACTCAGACATGAACCACTTCAGCCCGATCAAATGTGTTTCGGCATGGTCTATTCAGTTAATCTCGTAACGACTGACAACCGTGGTCTGTTTTTCACGAGCAGCGAAAAGTCAGCCAAAAGCAGTCCGCTCACTTCACAACAGGCACAAGAGATTCAGGGGCGTGTGTGTATGGACGGGCTTGTGATCAGCCATTACCATGTCATTCAGTTCCATGTCGTACCATGTCCCGCACACACCAACGGATCACGCGCGATCAACACTTGAGCCGTTGCCTACGCCTATCACATGATGTTGCAATGTGTTCATGAGCTACATCTCAAGTGGTTGCAATAAGACACCAATCGGCTGTGCCCAATCGATATACGCGTCACTGTCGACAGGATTCATGCCCGGTCTGTGTGGTTTGCGGATTATATGCCAACTGTAGGCTACCGCCACAGAAATACCAGCAAAATGTCTACCCTTCAAGTACTGAACAATCAAAATGCCCATTTCGATGATATGCCTGGGACGAAAGAAGATATCTGTATCTTAACAACTGCATTTGAAATAACCTTACTAGGGCTATCGAGATATACCATGAGTTGTATGATCGTTACGCAATTGTATAAGATTGGGATGTTTTCAAAAATGAACTTTTCTAAGTATGGATTCCGAAATCGACAATCGTTACCGCTGAAATCAAATAGGGTATTAATGAGACACTTCCACTACACAACGTAATTTGAGTGGATTAAGGCTTAGGTATGACATTCACAAGTGGTTATTGAGAACTGGCTTAGAGCCATTAGTGTCATTTCTTCAAGATTTTCTTCCTGTTCGTCTTTCCGCAATGCAATCAACTTATTCATCAAAGCACTAAATGACATGTTTAACCTATACTGCCCTTTTGAAACTCTATTGGTCTGTAACGGCAGAATGGCATCTCCACTGTTGAAATCATTCAGAAGACAGAAAGAACGATTGTACAAACCTAGAAACTCAGCGGCTGTCAATTATTATACCAACCTGATCAATCTGAAGTCAAACGCCCATCTGGGTCGTACGTCTTCCAGCTTCTGCAATGTAACTATAGTAAGCGAACGTTTACAAGCCATCAAATTCCGGGTTAGGACCAAATCCAAAACTCCAGATTGTACAGCGGATTTGGACAGTGTTAATGCAGCATTTATCCACCCAAAAAGCAATGCTATCACGCCATTTGTTCTGGATGATGCCGTTCAAGTAAAGGCCGTCTCGAAAGAAGAAAATTTCGAGCTTTCGAAAACCACCTCAAGTATTGGTCTAGATGATATTTCATCCTTCGTTCTCAGATATGGGACCTATTCACCCAGTGAAAAGTTAGCATTGTTTTTGAACACTTCCTTACAAACCTGCGTAATACCAGACTGTTAGAAACCAATAACAATTGTTCCTATTCCCAAATCTTCTACTTCACACTTTCTAACCGAAAGCTTCTTTCTTATCTCTTTAAATTCTGTTGGATCTAAATTATCAGAACGCGTTGCTCGCACGCGTATTCAGCCCTCACTTGATGTCCCGTACGATCCTCTCCAGCTTCCGCACAAACCAAACAGATGTATGCTAGATATAGTTTACTCGCTTGTACACAAAATTATCAAATCCTTGAATGAATCTGCGAAATCAGTTCGCTGTGTTTCTGGACTACTCATCTGCTTTTGATTCTATTCCTCGTTACCTTCTTCTTCGTAAACTGGAGACCTTCGGTTGTCCTAGGCGGGTATTAGCTTGGCTGGCGGATTTCTTTTAGGGGAGAACTTAATGTACCAGGTTAGTTCGAAATCCAAACAATTGGTAAACAATTGCGGGGTACTCCAAGGTACATTTCTTTCCCCATAATTAGTTTCTATGCATATAAGTGACTTATCTGCTAGCGCCACTACTTCTCCCTTCAAAAACATTGACAATGTGATTTTATGTCAGGCCATCTCCAATTCTTCTGGTCTTTCGCAATATCCTAACAACTTGGAAACCCTGGGTTTTTTATCAATGCCGATCTTCATTGGACCTCTCACATTCAACACATCGTCAGTAAGCTCCGACGACTTTCTTTTCATATCCGTAAAGTTCGTTGTCAACAGTCGATTATTTCCAAATTACATCGGTGTGTTTTCCTCGTTTTACTTTATTGTTCATCTGTTTTTTTTTTCAATCTCCTAAAGAAAGATTTTAAACTGTTTCGACGTGGACTGACCATCATTAGCCATGTCTCTTCAATCCCGCTGGAGGAGTTGGTAGCTAACCTGTAAGAAAATCATTTGAAAGCATGTGAAAACTTTGCAAATAAGATTCTTATCTACCCCACACATTCGCTACATACAAATTTCACTTCCTTTGTCCCCATCCGTCAACTAGATCCCAAAACCGTTATCTTGATTCCTGAATAGACAGACACATCATAACTCTCATAAGCAAGTATTCTAGTTAACAAAGAACAGGTTTTAACGGACTTTGTTAACAGTTTTGGGTTTTCAATATTTTTTCTCACTCTCTCCAATTGGTATATTTTCAACTGAAATGTGGGTATTATGCCTACTGCAATTATTAGAATGACAAGAACAACAATCCCACACCGATTTTGATCCGTAAAGTTCGTGCAGAAGGTTAAAACATCTTCCATGAATTCTGCAGATCAGCAGTGAACAAACATTTTCTTTGCTTTCGTTGCAGTGTTTAGTCTATCACAGCAATTTGAGGCCAGACGTATATACCTGCCAGATAAGAAATCCTCGCAGCTTCTGAACTGGTTTGAGACCATGAGTGCAAGCGGACTACTACAAAAGAATAACCACCCTACGGTGATGTTATTCTCCGTCTTTACTGTGGTCTTATAGGTGGTTACACCTTTTACCTCCACGAATTGCCAACTGACCTAAAGCAGCTATAAGATACATAAGGCAAATCATACTGATTTAAAATAGCTTTGAAATAACTGGGAAACCACTGAGACTCACTCAAACACAGAACGTCAAAACTGCCCCTTTCAAATCAACCAAAGAGTGATTTCTTGTTACTTGTCTCGATAGTATAGTTGTCGTTCATGTAATAGGGATACTTTGGGTCACTTAGTGTTTGAAAGCTGTTCTGAAACGGTTTCTATTTCGGCAATAGGAATTAATGTTAAAAAGGAACTTTTCGGTTGACTATAAGCGCTCGACGTCACTGTTTTCGAATTCATTTCATTAGCTTGCTTATTAATTTACTTCGCTACATATTTATTTACATACTTACGACAGCGCACTGCGCTCAAAGATTTGATGATTATGTTTTTAAATAAAACAAAAATAACTATTTCAAAGTTTATTTAGTGGTTCACTTAATGAACAGCTTTAGTTAGTTAGTTAGATACGTTGAAGGCACCAGGTTACACGGTCTTTGTTCGTGGGTGTCCGTTAAGTAGAGAATCGCAACTGAATAATACGTTGTGCTGAACGCAAGTCGATCCAACAACTGTTTCTTTCTCAGTTCGCAATGATAGTTTCTCAAATCTAACATGAAATGGTATAGTTGCGAAATCCACTAGGCTCAGTTTAAGGGATGGTTTATTAAATTTTACAACCTTGCTTGTCTATTACACATAACACGATCGATATTAAAGAGACAAATTCGTATGATGTTTCTATCGATTCCTTTGAACATTTTTTCTTCGATTGCTTCTTACATTTGTTCTTCACTCTCAGGTTGGTTTCTGCTGGCATTGTGTACCGGTTGCTTTGTACCATCTGAACGACTCTTACCGTCATTTCGTCACTTCGTTCAAACTTACGGCCCTCCTGAGTTTGTTGATTTATGCCTGCATCGATTGGAACGCACTCTAGCGAATGGGATTCGACGCCAACCTCCCGGTTGGGCCGAGGTATGTGCTACTCGAATGAGGCAGGATATGCAACTTTCTATAACCCTGATGGACAATCGAACTGTACTCGTTCACGCGGATGCTGCCACCATGGCTTCAGAAGTGTGTGCCTCTGTGGCAGATCAGATTGGATTACAAGATCGTTTTGGATTCTCTTTATATATTGGGTTGTTGAACAAGGTTAGTGATTTTTGGAAATCCACGAAACTATGCTTATCGTTTGTTTGTTTCTACTCAGAGTTTCAACTAAATACGCCAGAGACAATGATTCTTCATGCGGAAGATACTACCACAACATAGCTATCCCGAGATTTCGTTGGTCGTAATTGATATGAGATAAGCCAATATCTTTTAGTCCAGTAGATAAAATACTCTAATGAACTCACAGCGCCATGTGATATGCATTCTTTCTCGTAGTATATGCTTTGGCAATATGGATATGCGAGAGGAAAGGGGGTCAACAGCTGGTAAGCCTAATTTCAAAACTCTATCGTACATCACTAAATGCGATAACTATATGCTATTGACACAATCGGAAAACCTTCGTAAATTGTTTTGACACCACAACTGTCTTATAATGGGGACACTTGAATGCATAAGCTCATCATCGAGTTCCATAACCAGCCTTTGGCCTGTTCACTACAATCGAGAAACTTTAAATCAACATTTAATAATCGGCCAGACTAATATCTGTTGTGATTTACTCGGGACTTGTTTGTGTCTAACCCAGCTGTACAGGGGCTTTAACTTCGGTATTGGCAAATGATATAGGAGGAAGGGATTTCAATGAAAAAAACTGACTACTAATCGCAAATGTATTGTCATGTGCAGTTTCATAACGAAATGAAATCATCGACAACAGTACTTTTACGTTAGTTTTAAGTTTTCGTTTTCTTTCAAGTAAATGATGTTTACCCATTCTCCGTTTGGTGTGTGACAGTCCTTTGATTGACCTTACTGAAAATTGTATAGCTGTATAATCAATAACATGAAGTAAAAACTAAAAAACGATAAAAAATAAAGATATTTCTGTCTTCCATTCCGCCTGTTCGCCGAGCTTGGCAATGTGTTTGCAAACGTTTCATCACGAGCCGAAGTGACATCATCAGTGCTTGTGGAGTGGCATCACAATCACTAATGATGTCACATCGGCTGGTGATGAAACGTTTGCAAACACATTCCCAAGCTCGGCGAACAGGCGAAATGGAATTCAGATCACCCGAGTTATGAGAACCAATTTTCAACAGTTTGTCAATATTTCTGTCTATTTCGTAAATCAGAAATCTTTTTCAACCTTCTATCTCTTCCTCAGTATTTTTTATTTTGGGTTTGATTAGTATTCCTTACTGATAGTTTGCCCGCTACCAGAGATTCAGCTCTTTTAAATAAAATTGATTAACACACTACCCGAGGCGATTCCAACTGATAACCGCCAAGCAGAGAAATGGGGTATGGGATACAGTTTTGAGAATCAGTCCTCGGATTACAAAGGCATGTGTAATGTACTCCTTGTCGCCAGGACGACCATGAAATCTGTCACACCTTGCACGACTAACAAAATGCTGATCATTGTGCATTGTATGAATGTTCGCGTTTCTAAATCCCGTTGATTTTCCTCCAAAAATCAAATAGCCTTCTTTGGCAATCCATAACAGTAAACCTTAGATCTCTGATTTTCTAAATTTGAATCCAACTCGATCCAGTAATTATTTTCTCGCTTTCTATTTTGGATATAAAGGTCTCATCTCTGGGGAATAGTAATGATCATTTGATGGATGCAATAAGTCAGTGTGAAAAGTTTATCGAAGGATCTGGTCCTCACGATCCATGGGCACCGTGGAATCTATACTTTCGTAAAGAACTGTTCACTCCATGGCACGATCCATCTATAGATCCAGTTGCCACAGACCTGATCTATCATCAAGTCGCCCTGGGCCTGGTTCACGGCGAGTATCTCTGTGATAAGGTAGGTTGTATACTTTTCGTTTTATTATGCTTGAAGTCTGTTGATAGAAGCGCTGTGTGAAGGATGAATATTCCGTTAAAAACGGTTCGAAGACGATTAATTGTTTTTATTGATCTATGATTCTGTCCATACAGATCATATATAGGTTTGGTGTTAGTGAGGACTAATTTTCAACCTCGGCCGTTCGGTAAACGGGGCCAAGGGAGTGAACTCTGCATCAACTGACTGGGTCAATTTATCCACGATGTTTGGTTGGAACCAAATTCCGTTTAAATGGTTTTGGTGCTTTACGTTGTGCCCAAGTAAGTGGAACGCTTGAACGAGCCGCTCTTGTGCGCCCACCTCGGTTGTGAAAAGGTGAATACCCAGCGTTTCATCGGTGACAAGTGTATGAAGGTATACTGCTGTGAATGGGTTGGTGGCACATGATAGCATACTTGGATTCTATCCCTGATCGCCTGTATTCACTAAATGACCTAGAATGGTGCTTTCTTAATTCCTCAAGGCACTTTGTTTCAACTAGAGTGGGCAGTATTTTTTCATCTTCCGATGAAGTCAGCTCACCGTACGGCCAATGTAGGTTCCACTGCAATCGCACTTGAATGAGTAAATTACCATGGAAGTGGCAAACGTAAGCAACATGTCTTTATGAATAGTTCGGATCATGGAGGAACCTGTCAACACGCAAAACGGTTAGGCTGTTTTGTGGATCCATTTCACTGCACACACTAAACCTTTGTCTTGAGTTCATATAT